ACCTGCTAGTCAGGAGAATAATCAAGCATGAAACAATGCCCAAATAAGAAGTTTGTACATCAACTACTGTAGTGGGATAACATGATTTCAAATTTCCAATAGAGGCTCCAACAAATTGTTCAACTTTATCCATCCAAAGTTTGCCGTACACATCTGAGGTTTTTTAACGCAAGATATCTTTACAAGTTGAAGGCTAGTTTATTTAAGGAGAAAGCGTATGCTCAGTAACAGTAGCGCAAAGGAGCACTAAATCGGCAATCATTAGTTGTGTTTGGATTTTCGTTCATGTGTTTGGCTCACAAACTACTTGGATTTATGCTACCAAAGGGTTTTGTTTTACCAACTATCAGGCATTTTGAAAAGTTCGTTGGGTATTGTTCGGTCGGAACTGTTGGATAATGAAATTTTAGCTGTTCTCAGTAGGTGGTGAAAGATTCGGACGTTTTTTCGGTAAACAAACATGAACGAACCATATCAAACCCATTTCATGGAGAAGGTTTCGAACACGAAAAGTGTGGAGAGTACGTACACGGTAGATACTGAAAGCGATTTCCAACTTGGGCTATTTCAAGTTTCAACAGTAGGAATGCAGCCATTATTTTCAAATAATTTTCAAACACGATATCCTGCGAATTTTCTCAGATATTCTTTTACAAAGGCTCTCTTCCTTTGCTTTTTGTGTACTACCTTGGAGAACTTTGTGGAAAATCAGATCATGCGGTTATAGATAAAGACTAATTTCGGAACATTGTGGACTACTGTCCAGCAAACCTAGAAATAACAGACGGACTTTAGTTCCTGAAAACTCATTTCTTATCACCAAAGTTCATGTGTTGGATATAGTTTTATGGGTTTCTGAGCAGAGGATGGACCGGATGATGAAAAGAACTATTAATTCATTTTCAATCTTTTTGATTCACTGCAGTTCGTCACTGGTGGTCTAGGTCGGATGATTTGTGTGCGTATGTTCGCTTAATAATGCAGTGCGTCCAACCCTCAAGTTGACTGGGACACACACCCGAGTTCCCACCCTCTGACCAGGTTAAAATTCGCACCTACTCAAATTGCTTGTTCACTATTTCAATCATTCGATTTGAAGGGGGAAGGTGTTGGGTCACCAAATTAAAACAACTGCATGAGTTTCGCGTAGTTTTTCATTCTATTGCTATGTGGTGATTGCAACGTAAAGGAGACTTTCTTAAGTACCGAGTCGCTATGGTTTCCTTGAGTAGGCGTGGCTGAACAACTAAAGAGACCTCGCCTGTCGGGTAGGATACTGCGGATCGGAGGTAATTTTGCCGGGAGCAAGTTCTATAGACTGCGATCACTTTGAAACAAAACTTTCCGTAACAATCAAACACTTACTACAAAATAATAGATGAAATTGTTGCTGTCGTTATTGGCCAACCACACGTCAGAATAACCCAGTTTTTATGCTTGAGACTTTTTCACCTGAGCAGTGATTGATGCTCACACATTTACTGGGGGTTCAATGATACATAAGGCCTAAGCAAATCGCGGATAAACTCAAATTGAGTATGCACTCATTCCCTATATACGATAGACGGAATAATTTTTACGAAAACTTATACATGAGGCCTCGCCTAATGCATCATAACTGTGTTCGGTTGGTGAACCCAGCATACACATAACTCCATGTTCGCTACGGCTTTACAGATCAGGATTGAATAGAGAAATCATGGGTGCTTTTTAGGCCAGCGGTTTTTTAACAATTGTCATTAATCACCCTGAAGGGTTTTTGATTCCTTCAAAAGCCTCTTGTTGTCGCCTAAGTAGGCTTTACTAAACGCACAAAGTAGATGTTTCATTACTACGTTTTATGCTGAAAAACCACAAAGATGAGCAAAGTTCAAAGTGTTTCGCTCTGTTGGGTAAGATATATGAGAGATTTAGTCCTCTCTTTCTCGGATAAGGATAATTTTTCCCCTCCCTTGGGGATGGCTTACTGGTCACAGCTTATGTGGGACTTTTGTAAAGGCAGGGTCTTATGTGAAATGACTGAAAGTATTAATTAAGCGTCCATTTCTGCCACGTGTGGAAATCAAGAATTTTTAATGTGCGAGATCCCTCTTCCCAAGGAAGAGTTTAAGGGCTTGTAAAGTGGTGGGCACGAATTTGGATTTTTTAAATGCCTTCAGTTTCACGGATACTTGTGATCATGTTTAGCATGGTCACTCGGTCTATCAAGTGCCAATTCGACTATTTATTCACACGCCATCTGGTTATTCCTCACTGCTTTATCACACAAAAAGTTGCTCGATTAAACTCTCACCTAACTGTCGCCGAATATGCGGTCCGTGCTCTTTATAGCTTTCGAACCTGTGATGTTATTGAACACATTGGTTTGATAGTTTGTACTTCAGCGAATGAAGAAAATACGCCCATACTGAGAAAAAATTCTTGGAGGGTCAAGCGTTTGCCCATTGCATTTCTGGCGCCTCTTCTACGAAGAAGCTTTGCCGTGGAATTTATAAGCAGACTACATTTCAGCACTTGGGCACCGAAGGCTTATATTTACCCGCTGATACCCATAATAAATTACGCCCAAACAAGCTGTTGGTGGGAAAGTGCCATCCAATTGCTTTCGGAATGTGGGCCGCTTTTTAAAAGTACTGGTTTAAAGTCATGTGTATAGTGCATATGAAACGACTGAGTGGGAACACTATCATCGCGCATAAGAGACGTGAGCTGGGAATGTTTGAGAACCACGGTTTCCCTGAATACTTGAAGTCCAACTGTCAAAATTGTGTAGCGGTTAGATGGTACCGACCAGAGATCAGTTCTTGATAAGCTATTCGAATATAAATTACGCTGATAGTATCAACAGGGCCAAAATGGATGCTTATAGATGAATCTGTTTTCTAATCTGAATAGCACAAGAACAGTGTGCTAATCGGTCTGCAGAAAACAGTTTGGTTTGGGACCAATCACTACCTTAATAATGAGGTAATACAAGGCTTATCAACCTAGAAACGAGGAACTGATTCCTCAACCTACATCCATACATGAACGCATTTTATTGGTCGGTGTCTCTGCAGGGGTTGGGTTTTGGTACAGCTGAGTCGACTGGGAGCATTCAGGTAGCCCAAGTGAAACCTTCCGTCGTTCAAGCCTTTACCACATTTACCTCATCTCTTCATCATATTTCTCGCAAATACTTCATAATCTGCTGGCATTATCCGGTTCACCTACGTCAGCAATCAACTGCATTTTGTTAAGAATCATTGTGTAGAAATAAATACATTGATTCTAAAAATCTATAATCACGAAGGTGAAGCTGGTATAACTGTAAAGTTCCTCATAAGATAGCAGCCTGTGGCTGGTGGACGTGTCCGCAAAAATTGCAATTTAGTTTGCGTACGAAGGATGGGAAGTGAAAGCTAGCGAAAGAGGAATGGGATGCGTAATCGACGCAGAATGGATCCAAAAGTGTGTTTCTCTCCAAACAAAGTATACGAAACATTGGTAGCTCAGTATAGATCTATCCTCTGACAATGGTCTATGGGAGAGTTACCTCCATACGGTAGACCTCCCATACAAGCGTGCTTGTCGCTGAGTCCTGATTATATGCTTAGGTATGATTTATTTCTGAAGGCCTAAAGATTGGGCTAGCTGAAAATAATGTATATCAAAACAGCACGCAGTTATTTAAATAACTCGCTTTCTGGTATATTTCGATCTTGTAAGTGGTGTTTATTTCAAGCGAACGCACATGAGTTCATCGAATATCGCACCAACTGGAACATAAGGTGTTTTCGTATCCAACTGAAAAACATAGCTATTAGGCTAGGATCCCACTGCACCTAGCCTACAAATAAACATAGTCCACCAAGTACCCGACCATTTCAGTCGTAATCATCAAGTTCCATTTGATGCAATATCAGGTTACATTCTGATTCGAATATTTTTCTCTCACCCTCACTGTCAGACTTTCCTATTACAGTCACATAGCCCATTTTTTATTTTATTTAACTCCACATTCAAATTTTATTTCGACCGCGTTAAAGACAAATGACCTAGCCGCAAGACCACGCTTTGGTTGACTAATCACTTGAGGATTCAAAAGATGAAAGAAACTTCAAAATAGAACTTGCTGCGTAACAATCAAGTAAAATCGTTCTACAGAAATGAGGTGTAGGATTGGTAGAACAAAAAGGGACGATTTTTACTTGACTCTTGTGTTGGCAAAGGCCCAGTTATCTTAGTTGAACTGTACTTGCCCCCGTGTTGTGATACACTTTTTAGGCAGCCTTGGAGTGATTTGGTAACACTGGAGAGATCACAGTGAGAGGTTTAGCCGGATTACTAGGTGAGCAGTATCGATCATGTGAGCTTTAATGTCACTAATCATTTGGGTTGGTTTGTTAAACGACTTGAAGAATGGCATGCGCTCAGAGATTCTTGGCGATGTCTGTCTGTCTGATTTATGTTTTTTATACGGTTCTTTATCTGGCAATTAACCAACATCAGATGCCGGTTTGAGTGAGGCTACGATATGAGGTCGAACTATGTGAAGGCATGATCAAAATATCGTGAGAGGATGTAACCGAGACCGAAGTGCTCGGTACTGGTTGCCGAGTTTCCAAACCCCGCTGTAAACTGACCTTCCTTTATACTTGAGACCTGACGGTTAACCCAACTGAGCGGAGCAAGGATTGATTCCATGTCGTACTGCCACTGGAGGCTTTTAGGGTTTGTCGGTGGGCCATTTGACAGAGTCCTTGAGATCCAACAAATGGACGTGTCCGTATGAAATAATGTTTGTTATTTTTATCGGTTGTTTTATGATGATCAAAGATGGTGAACTCATTCCAATCGCTTCCCACTGCCAATGAGTGGGCCAGAATGCAAACAAAAGATTAATGGTTTATCCCATTATCGAATTTCGAAAACCATGTCACAACAGAGGTTAGTGAAAATTGCACTTTTACTGCTCCGTGCTAATCTATGTTTTGTTTCCACTCTCTTCGTTGTCGCAGGTGAAAAGCCCTTCATGTGCGAATTCGAAGGCTGCGACCGACGTTTTGCCAACAGTTCGGACAGGAAAAAGCATATGCATGTGCATATGAACGACAAACCGTATTTTTGTCGATTTAAAGGATGTGACAAAAGTTACACTCATCCCAGCTCTTTGCGTAAGCATTTGCGGGTTCACTCGTTGTCACCTACTAACTCTCAAGCCGATTTGGAGGCGCGATCCCCAGGTAGTGAGCAGCTGGATGTAGAGAGTTCTGAGATTCGCAATAACGGGCACTTTGAAGAGGAACTACGTAGTGATTTGAATGGAGTCAATGAGCCGCCCAAATGTTCTCCCGGTATGTCTCACCGATCGACTTTTATCAAATCGGAACCCATCAACTTGGGTAGGTTTAATTGCAAACTGGGGAAGCGTGCAGATGCGGGTTCAATCGACTCGGTGGACCAAAACTCTGAGGTCAGTCTTCGAAAAATACGGAAAAGACGCCACTCTTCCAAGACGGAATTGTTCGGTTGTGATGTTGGATCATTGGTTGACTTCAAGTCACCCCACATGTTTGACATTTTGCGATCATGTGATCGTATTCCGAACGCACTTACATGTGGTGATTTTTCTGGACGGGACTCAGCAGATCAGTATCGACCAGCCGTATCTATTCCATTTTGTTTTAGCACACTACATCCATACACGCAATCCGGACCCGCCTTCAATACCCAGTCAACAACATCGAAAGTTTTTGACGCATTCCTACCTTTCTCTTCTCTTCAATTCTCTCAAACTTCAAACCAGCCAAGTGCACTCTTGTCAAGGTCAAACACGAGTATGGATAGTGGACAGAGAGACAGATTTTTAAGTGCACGTCGTGATTTCGAACATGGGATTGCTTATGCACATCCGGCTTACGCACCCAACATGTATCAGATGGCAAATCCAGTGTTCCCCCAATCCACTGACGCCAGGAAGCTGCGTGATCTTTCAGATTCCGTTATCGATGGGACAGGATACAGTAGTCTGTCAGAACAAATCGAACGAAGCTCACCATCGCTTTGTCAAAATTCAGTACAAAACGAGTTTACTTTGTTGCATTCTAGTTCGAATACACGAGACTCATCACTTTCAACGCACCAGTCCACCCGTAATTCGGAGATTACAGTTCAGTCAACCAGTCACCACTCATCGTCCACTGATTCAGACCTCGAGAGTACAAGCTTGCTGTTTAAAGCTAATTCTTCTGCAAATTCGAGTTTCACAAATTCATCGGCGCCTAAACCACAGACAAACTTGTATGATACTCTCAGTCACCCATATTCATCAAATGCAGGAGCAATAGCGAACACACTCCAGCCAGAATTATTGGCATCGGACACCGAAGGTCTACCAACGGCCTCCACGGCCGCGACTAGTCCATCAAACGCACTCTCCGTAGGATGGCTCCCACAAGCCACCTCTGGGGCAACATCAGTCAGCTACTTCGATTGGCGTACTCCTCATCCGGTACCGGGGGGCAACAGAATTACACCTGACGGTACCATTGAAGGACGGATCTTGAAACAGAATTCACCCGATCACTCTTTGAAATCTCCACCACTCCTATCCTTGTCCTCATCCAGTACTGTACCCGCTCCTTCTTCAACAGATCTCCAAACAGCAGCAGCCTTCCAGCGACCGTATTCTTCCCTACTATTCCCACCCAACCGTTGTGCCAATACTGGTTCCGAATCGCCTCGCACCGTAAATACCTCAAATTTGACCAACCTAACTCTAATCCATCCTCTAAACGGCTGTGGCTCCCTCGAAGTCACCTGACGAATAGAATACTGGCTTACAACACTGGACTTACGCTCATCATTCACGTTCAGTGCTTTCTTGTGTTCGTTGTAAACCACTACCACACCTTTCTGTACAAAACAACCCAAACCATGGTCGAATTATGTATCAGTTTTGCTTTCCGGTCCACATAGGCCAACCCGAAAACTCTTCTACATATTCCTAGATCTCGCAAACTGTTCGATATGAATGAGGTGTTCTTTTACGTGTGTCAAAACAGATTAAAGTATTACCCTTGAATTTCAGTCAAAATGAGTTTAACACGGAAGCGCTTTCTTGCTTCTTACGTTTTGCATATGAGACGACATGGCCTTGACACGGTCCTGGATATAATTCCTAGAATTTTCAATTCTTTCTATGGTGTGGATAGCCGTCGTGTCAAAGTGCATCATCCAGAATGCTTTTTCCATGTATGCGGCAGCAGGGGTTCATCCAACGGTGGGTAAGATGGTTTTAGGTCCAACCTAAGGAGGAGGAGTTGCAGCGTTTCATGGTTATGAAAAAATGAGGTTCCTAAATTCATCGCACTATTTTAGACTTCGATCCTGAGGTGCTTGAATGGATCATCAGGACAGCGGATGTCAGACAAGCAAAGACTTTTGTCCAGGGAAAACCTGAATAGTCTGAATGGCAATCCACGACTATATCCACTCTGCTTCGCAAGAATTCTTCCAGCGGATTCCTGAGGCAGCCCGTGCACTCAGTAGAGACGCTCTTTTGTCCGGCTATTAAGGACTAACAAAGTTTTCCTTTCCTCCTACTATATTACTATCAGTTCTTGATTACACGAAGTGAATGAGCTGTATACAGCTTCAGCATGAAAAACCTGTTTCGCGTTTAGGCTGCAAGTGATGGATTCATTAATGAGTGGAGCATCTTCATCGCACATCCGCTGGTAATCCGTAGTCCTCACTGTCCTCTGGGCATGATTTAATTTCGTCGATATTCAAGGGAGACTGTGGATGTAAGAAATAGCTAAATATAGCTGTAGTGAGCACTTAGGAAGCGATCTTCAGTGGCGAGTTTAGTCAGACCAACAGCTGTACATCCGTTAAAGCCCATGTCCGCACCTTTGCTTCGAATAGTCTTATCAATAGGTCATTGAAAAAGAATAAAAAATGAAAGGCACGGCTCACCACCAACAATTCGGAGCTGACCTCAACATTCAAGGGCACTCACGTTTTTCTTTCACGAAACTGCAACTAACATCAGTCTAATTCCTAAATCACGTATCGCCCTCCTGTAATTTCTTAAGTATGATAACTCACCTACGGTATTCAACTAACTGTTGTAGCAGATAGCACGTACTCCCGAATGAAAAACTCCAGAGTGCACTCGATCTGACCCATTACGCTTGAGGGAACTGTTCTAATCCAGGTTGCCGTATACTTCCCCATCATCCATTTGGTAGTCAAAACTTAGTGCGACAGCAAATTTGGTCACATCGATTGCTAATTATGAAGAGAGGGGAAATGGGTTGGGATGTTTATGAACTTCTGTCGGCCCCTAACCGATATGAGCCAATGAACCTTGAGTGCTCTATCTGTCGTCTCAAGCAACACTTTTCCCAAGTCCTAACGCAAAATCTTTTAAATAACTACTCTTTCCCTGGACGTTGCNACTAAGCAATTTGAGCATGGTTTGCTTCATTATTCTTTTTTTTTTCAATGACGAATCTTGTGGATGTCACACTTGGGTCATACTCAATAAACTGTAATTTTGTTGGTAATCTATAGAGAAGGAATGCAAATGCGATGAATGTTACTTTGTGTGTTGTTGACAACTTGTGACTTATCAACATTGTCTTTCGATTCCAAGGTCCAGTATTGTAGACTTCATTTCCAACTGAAAACCAACCTCTATCATGCACTCCTCAGCTGTGATCATTAAAAGAAATAGTTGTTTTAATTGATCCAGTTCAGTAACAAAAATATTTAGCACCTCCTAAAGCAGCACTCTAGGAACCACCTACTCATTCTTGAGGACCTACTCTCTAATTCTGGAAGCTTATGGATCAACATGAATTATAGTGAAGGGCACGTCACGGACATTAGGTAAGAACGCTGGAACACTTGGCATACTAAGCATCATGTGACGTGAGCGAAAATTTAAGCCAACTGGAATCGATCAAAAAGTGACGTCACCGATTATCTGTTCGATATTCATATATTTATTCCAGGTGGTCAGAGGTCGAAGTTGACTGCGAAGTTCCATTGTTGATTAGTCAGTACATCAAATCGCATTTTTGAGTACTGCCATTTTATTGACCTCATTAAAGTGAGAAAGTATGTACTTTAACGTTTCACTTTACCCGTTTCATAGGTCTGATGTATGTATGGAAATAAAATTGCGGAATTAATCTGAAGATTCATTTAGGCAGTTCATTCGGAGGGACCAAAAGTCAGTCTTAGTTTCTCGCAGTGGAATATGGCTTTACCCGAAAACTGATTTTCATACGGAAACTTATTGCCAGAGACCGCGGTATAAGTTACTTAAAATGAAAGTAGGGCGATTGAATTTGAAAAGACAAGTTCAAGCTCACATACTATGAATGAAAAGACATCTCTAGAGGTATACGCAAGACAACTACCGATCGCCCACTGATTGCCTGGCGATTTACTATTGGCTAACGAAGTACTGCAACTCAAATGTGCACAGTATTCTACACGAAGGAAAGAAAATGTCTTGGTCTCCCCAAAAAATCGTCTCGTTTTGACTTAGTCACATCCGAGCTAATCGCCTACGAGAAGCGCGGTTTTTGATTCCCCTAGGGAGTGTATGCGTTTCAGAGAGGCATCTCTCGTGAAAGTGATGCAGATAGGAAACACAAAATAGGGTTTTCAGTCTCTGGAACGTTCATGAAACCTTGAGCTGAAAGCTTCGAACATTTCGCAACGTAGGATTTTCTGCCTGTGGCGGGTACATATTGTTGTCAACATTATTTCGTACCTTATATGTAATGTGCAGAATGACGCCCAGCCTTGTTCCATACGTAAGAAAACAAAGCCGCTAAACGCGCGTTACGTCTGTGTTTTACAGCGGCATAAGCTGAGTAAACTGGGGAGCGTGAACTCTAATAAGCTAATTAGCTTTAGGTTTCATTTTTACGCCGATACAGCGGTCATCCTTTCATTGCGAATGGCTTAAAACCCGGTCTTGCAACAATTTATGCTTGCAGTGCAGCTCAAAATAAGGTTATTAGGTGTATATTTTCCTTGTGTTTCAATAAACCGATGGGCGAAGGGAATAGGGGCCAAGCTTAGGCGTATTGAGCTTTTGAAGGATTTCATGGTTAACTTTTAAAGAACTCATGGTCAATGAACGATCAGCTCATCAGCGGAAGAGGCTTTATGCTCATTGGCCCAGTGACCTTGTGGAATGTGCTCTGGTGAGGAGCAATCGATAAGTACTTTTGCTGAAAGACACTAAACTTTGTAAACTTTGGAATTCCGTGTTGCTCCTAAAAGACCTAAATAAATATCTTGTCAGCTTGAATTTATCAACCAGCAGGTAACTTCTATGCGTGGACCATATTAAAATCCCTTTCTTGAAAATGTAGCTAGGAGTACCGTGGCATTACTGGCCTAGCCAAGTGAGCAGAATAATTCGCTTCTCTTCCAGGGATTCATTGTTCTTAACACTGTCGGCTTTGGAAGATAACCATCCTTTCCAATCGACTTGCTCGATTTATGAGTAAGTACCACAGTTTCTACCGTCAGTCTTCCAAGCAACTCAATATTCCAATGTGTTGGCCCAGGTAAAATGTCGATGACTGATGTGTAGATATAGTTCATGTTGAAAAATCTGAGTCACATTAATGATGGACAGACTAAGACACCTCTGTGACAGATATGTGAACAGAATGATGGTCACTGTGAGGCTGAGTGAAGGGTTGCTTGTTTTCATACTTCTCTCGATTTTGTTGTTACCATATCATGTGTGTACCGTTTCCTGTCTGACTGGATTTACCGGTCCATGCTTGTCCTTAACAGAGCACTATACGACTCATTATACTATGCTAAAAATTAACAAGTATCTAGGTTCTGGTGTTGTCTGTTGGTTGCCATAGGCCGGGAACCTTCATCTGAGACCAAATTGACAACACACTAGGAAGATGTTCAGCACAACTTGCAGCGTCTTTGTGTTCCGCTAGCAATCCACTCACACACCACACAGACCATAAACTGTGTGCGCTGAGTTCTACTGAATGTGAAGGACCCACCTTATGACTATTCTCAACTGCTGGGAGCTTGATGCAAGAACGTTTTGTTCAGGTCACCTCGGAAGTTTGGGGAACTTAGTTGTACTTCGGTGTCTCTGTTATCAGGCGTTCATGTAAGCAAGCGTGTTTTCAGAGGGGAAGCACACAACAAAATAGAGTCATCTGAGTTCTCATCGATATCAGGCCAACGAGCAACATGTCCTTGCCGACCAGGGGATATACAATGACTCGCAAGATTTCACTAGTTCTGGACTGTACTGAGAATAGTCTGAGTATGGTCAGAGTGATCTGCGTAATGATAATGCATTCAGCCAGTTTCATTCTCGAAGACTGATGATGTCTATGCTACAGATATAGGTATGAATAATAAAACACAACTCCCTCACTCATACACTACCCATGAATTTATTTCGTTCGGGTCATTTTTACTCACCGATTTATCTGCAAACGGATGAATAACACCCAAACGTATGGCCTTTTGCCTAGGACGGTGAACAAAACAGAACGCCAAAGTGTGGTGGTTGCTTTATTTGCCAGTTGTCACGAGAACTCAGACTTGTGGGGTCTCAAATTCATGATGAAATATATCCAGCTGGTATTCGACGCAGTGTCTTGTTGCACCGTGACTCCGCCCAAAGGCAAGCTCAGCGTTCATCTTCCATCGTGATGCAAGAACTGAGTTGCAAAATTTTCGTCACTAGTTAAAAATTATCCCCAACGACGGTTGTGTCGGCATTCTGTCGTTTCGTTTTTGTGTGCATATTGTCTGTAGCGCATTCCCATTTGAAAAGCTGACACGGACGTCTCCCTCTATATGGTGGTTCCAATGTAACCAACATTACCACGGCCGCCTTTTGAAGCATCCGAAAATGTACACCGTCTTCCGACATGCCTGAAGACACGAGGCAGTGCAAAATGCTGACGGAAATTTACGCCAGAACCTCCAGGGTCCTAACGGAGTCATATTGTGTGTCACTCCCAGTTTCAGCACGATAAAAATCCGGAAAATGCTCCTGAGATGACACAACAAAACGCATTGCGTAAGCTAGACAACAGAATGAATAGAAGGATATGCCTTGTCAGTGGGTTTTCAGCGACTGCAACTTGAAAGCGAAGGCTTGTGTCATGACCACACCGTACTTGATTCAGGATATTCCTAAAGATCCTCTTTCAAGGATGGCCGCTTACCTTGAGGGGAACTTCTGGAGAGCAACTTTGTTAGCTTGCACTCTACAATGAACAGCACTGCCCTCATGTAGTGGCACCCAACACAGCACGACAACCACACGGAAATTATCACTCGCTGACAAAACAGTTGAGGGATAAAAATCAGTGAATTATTTGTAGCCACTTGTGGAGCGCATTAGTGAATCAAAACGACGGATAAATGCAGTCGGAGATATAAAACACAAACTTGTACGTTTTTGGATGGTTTTCACCATCACGACACAATCAGCAGTTGATAATAGTCGTTATCACTAGCGGCTACCTCCTCAAGGGTTGAAATAATAATAATAAATATGAGTCCACATCTACAGCGTTTCCAACAACCTAAACCCCTGCTCACCAGTATCGTTCACGTAGTAGGTTTTCCACTATTCTCATGAGGTTGGTAGTCTGGTTACACTAGAGTGATACTGCAACTTGTGCGGGGTAGACTTTCAACTTTTCTTCTGAGTTACTAATTTTGGAAGGAATCAGCCTCGATCCGTTCAGCATCTCTTTAGTGGTGTA